TATAAAACACTTAAGTCTCATTCTGGAGTTCTCATCTTCTGTCGTAAGAAGTGTGTCGGCTTTTGTGGCTATTGTTTTTGAAATCTGGAAGTCAGAGATCATTACCGTAAATCAGTTTCTCATTCTCATCAAGTCTTCATCCATTGTGTACAACACAGCATTACTGCAGACTGTCTCTGACTAGGTTCTATTTCTTTTTTTTTTTCTTTTTGGTCTTTTTGAAGCAGGGTCTCCCTGTAGTCCCAGCTGTCCTGGAACTCACTATGTAGACCAGGCTGGTTTTGATCTTGGAGGTCCACTGGCCTCTGCTTCCCGAAGTGTTTGGACTAAAGGCGTGCCGGCACCATGCCTGGCTTAGGTTATATTTCTTTAGAGAGAACTAAAGCAGCAAAGGTCGACATGGCCTGTAGCTATTGTGTTCTACCTTTCTCCCCTCCACTGCCTGATGAAAGGCTTTGTCTTTCAGGTACATCCCCACAGCAGCTGCGTTCGGAGGTCTGTGCATCGGGGCCCTGTCGGTGTTAGCGGACTTCCTTGGGGCTATTGGGTCGGGCACTGGGATTCTGCTTGCAGTCACTATCATTTACCAGTACTTTGAGATATTTGTGAAAGAACAGGCTGAAGTTGGTGGGATGGGTGCTTTGTTTTTCTGAATGTTCATATATTTCTTTGTGTGTGAAAGGGAAAATATTTTGACATAGTTTTTGTCAAATAATGCTGGTTCCCCTTTTCTTCCCTCAGTTTCTTGTTTTCAAGTGCTAACTGTCCCATTTCTGAAATGGGCACCGAGCTAAGCCTGTGCAGCATTAGTACCAGCTGCCTTAAAACTGAAGTTTACATTATTCGTTGAAACTGTCCATCTAGTGTTGCCCATGATGCTGGAAACCGAAGCATCTGCCTTGCTGTTGGTCAGACAGGAAGACAGTTCACATGGATTAGCTTTGCATACAATATTCAGAACACTAAATATTCCCCCTTGTTTAAAAGTAAATGTAGTTCAAATTGCCACTTTCCAGTATTTTTGAGCTTAGCTAATGAGTTCTAGAACATTTATATCTAATGTATATTTTAGATAATTTTTATACTTTTTAACTGATCATGTCCATGTTTTCCCTCACCAGCCCCAATCGCTCTTTATTTTTCCTATCCCAAAGCTTCCACTCAGCCTAGATGGGCAAAAATCAAGCACTGAAGTGATTTGTTACTAGAAACAATTGCTTCTAATTTTTCTTCCTGCTTTTCATTCCTGCTCTCCTGGTGACAGCGGTCAGTACTCTCTGACTGCTGGCTATGCCTTCCATTTCCAAGTCACTCGAGAACACTTCTAAAGACACTATGCCTCATCCCCACCCCCTTCTTAAAGCCAACATTCAGTTCTCAAGCAGTGTCTGTAGTTGAGTCGGGGTAAGCACTGAGTAATTCATGCTAGGAATTTGTCTGTTCTTACAGCAGCAAACCTGAGTGTAAACTGTAGACAATAAACTTTTATTTAATAAAACTGTTCAGTTGTGTTGGAGAAATAAAGAAATATGGTATTAAGCCTTCTATATTTGTATAGGTTGAGTGTATACAAAATCCATCCTGATATGCACACTTAAAGAGGTCAAATCCAAATATACTTTAAATTACTGAGGGGCAGTGGCAACTGAAGGGTACTCATACTCACGTGACATATTTGGAAGGGGACAGGAAAAGTCAAAATATACCCTAATTTCTGTTTGAAATTACACATTCCATTGCAAATACTTTTTAGAGCATATGAAAGTTTTAGAGAATATATTTTTCAAAAACCAAATTTAATTTTTATTAAAAAAATTTATTTTTATGTGTATGAGTGTATTGCCTGTGTATGTATGTAAGTGCACCCGTGTTGTACAGTGCCCAGGGAGGTGAGAAGAGGGTGTCAGATCCCCTGGAACTGGAGTTATAGACAGTTGTTAGCTGCCACGTGGGTGCTGGAAACCGAACCTTGGGTCCTCTGAAAGAGTGGCCAGTGCTCTTAACCACTGAGCCATCTTGCCAGCCCCAAATTTAAAGGATATTTTCAGAAGTACAGTTTTCAGTCATTTACTTCCTTAGGAAGAACAGGAGGTAGGAGGTTTTAGCTCAGGATCACAAAGTCAGAACTGTAAGGACAAGAACTAAAACGTGGCACTGGGCACATCTTGTAGCAGATCACTACTACCACAGAGCATGCAGCCAGTGTCAGAATGTCTGGAGGTTTTTGTTCTCTTCCAAAAGAACACATAAAAAGGTGGCCTTTTAAAAACACAGGCAAATGAACAGTTGTGAGACCATCCACACTGCCACTTCTCAGATTCTTTAAAAATTAAAATTTATGTGTCTGAGTGTGTTGCCTGCATATGTGCACCTGTGTCATGCAGTGCCCATGGAAGTCAGTAGAGGGCATCAGATCCCCTAGAACTGGAATTACAGACGGTTGTTAGTCACCACGTAGGTGCTAGGAACTGAACCTGGGTCCTCTGCAAAAGCAGCCAGTGCTCTTAACCACTGAGCTCTCTCCAGCCTCTAGCTCTCAAATCCTGACTTCGTCTCCAAGGCAGAACCTTTGGAGGACAGCAGTGTGCCTGTGTAGGGGTATGTTCTAGGGTTAGCCATCACATTCCAGGTCCACTCCAAGGAGGGAAGGTGGAAAGGCCAGGGAAGATGTAACAAACCTGTGCCTTGGCCAGTATCAAAGTCATTCCCATTGTAAGGGGCTTTGGAAGGACCACTGTATGGAAGTAGTGGTCCATATTAAAGTCTGTCTTGTGCCTTCATTTCAAAGGAGGGAAGATACTGAGTGCACTCTTGAACTCATGAGAAAGATTAAGATTTAAAAATCAGGATTTTATAAAAAGGTTAGAAGAGTCACAGGGAAGGCTACTGTGCTGTTGAGTAGATGGATTTAAAAAGCAGACTTGATCTAGAAAGTTCCAGAGGTCTTTTTATTTTTTGGGACAGGGTCTTAAGAGCACTGGCTAGCCTAGCACTCAAAAGAGCCTGTTTCTGCCTCTGTTATGATTAAAGATGTGTGACACCACACCCGGACTTGAGTTTTTTCTATCCTTGTTTAAGAAGTCCAGTTTTATATAAAGATTTATATAAAGATCTTGTACTTTGGTTCATAAAAGTACTTCTGGGTGAGACAAGACCTGTGGACAAATGAACAATACTGCTTCATTTAACATCAAGAACCTGGGCTGGAGAGAGAGCTCAACGGTTAAGACCACTGGCTGTGCTTGCAGAGGGCCCATGTAAAGTCAGCTTGACAGCTCAGCTCACTCGGGAACTCAGAACAGTGGCAGGACCTTTGAATGATGGACTTTAGGGATGGCATGTGCCAGAAACCTTTCCTACATTTTCACTGTAGTAGTTTTGGTTGTAGATACTGGCTATCTGTTAACTGCCTATGATCAGTTTTGGCATCTAGACAACATTGCCCCAAATGATGTCAATCTTATTGCTGCGGAATTGCCTTTAGAAAATTACTCGTGTTTTCTGAAGTAATGATAGGAAATTAGATGCTAAAGTGTACACACGTGAGGGACAGGCCTTGCATTTTCATTAGTCACTTAGCTTTGGTATATTAATGGTATGTTAATTATCAAAGTATTACCTTGGTATGCTTTTAGGCATTAGGTGGCCTTATAAGGATATTAAATATATTTTAAAAACATTATTTTTGAGGGACCAGATAAATGGCTCAGCATTTAAAAGTACTGGCTATTCTAGAGGACCCAAGTTTTGTTCCCAGTACCCACAACGTGTCTGTCCACAACTCCAGTTCCAGGAGATCTGGTGACCTTTTCTGGCCTCCACAGGCATTGCATGCATGTAGTGCACTTACATATATTTAGGCAAAATACTCATACACATAAAAAAATAATTTTTGAGATGGTGTCACACTATGTAGCCTAGGCTGGTCACAAGCCTGTGATCCGTCTCAGCCGCCAAAGAAGCCGGATTACAAGCCTGCACCACACCACCACAACTAGCTACAATTTTACTATAAATGTTTTTCTCAAGTGGTTTTATACCTTCTACTACCCAAATGAACTCCATATGGCAGATCAACTATGAAAAGCTAAAACGTCCTTACAGAGAGTCTCTTTTAAAATTTTAGTTTTAAGGGGCTGAAGAGGTGACTCTGGTTAAGAGCACTGGCTGCTCTCGCAGAGGACCCAGGTTTGGTTCCCAGCAGCCACACAGCACCTAACAACTGTTATTCCAGTTCCAGGGAGTCTGATGCTCTCTTTTGGCCTCTTATGGACTTTGACTACATGTGGTGCATTACATACAAGCAGGGAAAATACACATAAAAATAAAACTATTTTGAAAACACAAGTCTAATAAATAGCTATTTGCAGACCCAGCTACATAATTCTTATCTTAGGGGCTCAGAGTGGGGATAGTTGATCTCAAATCTGTATTCCTGAGATATACCCCTACCTTCTAAACTAGGTAAGGTTTAAAAAAAAAATGAAGATTAAAGATACCTATCTATATTTATGTTCTTTTTCATTTAGCTAGCATTTAGCAAGTTTAAATGAAGGTTATATCCTACCTATAATTAAAATTCCATACCATCACATGCACTGTGCTGCTTTTATTTTATGAAAAAGCTAATTTCAAACTTATATTAAACTACATTGAATATTGAGGCCAGTGTCCTCTTTGGCTTTAAAATTTCAGGAAGGGTACTTCAAATGGCTTCGTATTTGCATGTTTCAGAGCTAGAGCGTAGGCGTAGACTCTGGCATCCACTGTAAGGTGTTCTTCAGCTACCATAGCTAAGGAAGCAAAGAAGACAATTTAGAGACGGCCATTAACATGGGTGGTAGTGCTCAGTCAGCAGTGCTCACACCGTACACCAGTCCCCGTACTAGACTCATGACATTTTCTGCCCTCAGAGTTGCTGCTCTAAAGGAAGGATAAAGGCTTGTAAAAGTAGGAATACATTTCTAGCATGAGGCAGGAGCAGGGATGACAATGAAAATGGTAGATCCATGGGTTTTCCTTCAGGGTTTTCATTTCTATCTGGGGGAAGGGAGTGTAGCTCTTCTGGAACTCTTAAGATGCTGTGTATACAGTATTTTTCCTGGGCTTCAATTTTTTTTTTTTCCCAGTGCTAGGGGCCCACAAACTTAACTGTGCCTTAGGCTCAGGAGACTACTACCAAGAAGGTGGTGGGCTCACAATGTCATTACAGCTGGCCTTAGTGAGACCTGTTGACTGGATGGAGGTTGTAAAGCTTCCAATCTGAATTCTTTTTTTTGCTTTTTACATGTAAATCCTTTAAAAAAAAATTTTATGTGTATGAGTGTATAGCCTGCGTGCATGTAAGTGTACCCATGTGGTACAGTGCCTGTGGAAGTCAGAGGAGGGTGTCGCATCCCTTGGAACTGGAGTTATAGACGGCTGTTAGCCGCCATGTGGGTGCTGGGAATTGAACTGGGGTCCTCTTCAAGAGCAGCTGGTGCTCTTCACTGCTGATCCATCTCTCCAGCCCTGTCTTCTGCTTTTTAAAAATCATTTTTTACATTTATTATTTTTGAGGGTGCACAGGTATGCTTTGGTTTGTGAGTGGAGGTTAGAAGATAATTAGTGGGGGTTGTTTCTTTCCTTCTGCCATGTGGGTCCCAGAAACTCAGGTTGTCAGGATCAGAGCCCACTTAGCCATGTTGCTGGCCCAATATCTCTTTTAAGAATTCCTAGTCACTTGTCTGGGAACAAGCTCAAAGATGGGTTGATACTTGAAGGCAGCGTTCATGCCTATTCACCTGTGTATGGCCATAGGCTGCTGGTTGCTATTTGTTGTGGCAAACTGACCTTAAAGCGTCTTTACACTTCTTAAATGTTCCTTGTTGAGTAAGTTACTTGGTTATATTTTTATTCTACTGAAGCTAGGCAAACTGTTTCATCTTCCTCTCTTTCTTGCCATATTAAACCCCTACTCTTAAGTCCAGAAAGAAAGGTGGGTGAGAATGAATTTTTAAAAAGATACTCTATATATAGAGTACAAACACGTACCACGTAACGTTTAAGCACTTGGAGGCCAAGTGCTCTGCCTCCATTATCTTTAATGTTGCTCATGCATTCTCAGAGTTTCCTATAAGGACTCACCCTGCTTTAGAAAAAAGACAGCCTAGTAACCAATTATGACGGCTGGGCTGCAAACCCAGCCATGTCTGCTGCATTACAAGCTGTGCTGCCTATTATTGGTTGTCATGGCTGCCTCTGAATAAATGATGATATCTTACTCTAGCTTTGATGAGGTGATTTTTTTCATAGGTCGAGGTTTTGTTTGGTTTTTAAGGTAAAGAAGAAATGGAAGCTATCTGGGAATATGAAATCATAGCAGTTATTTGAAAGACAGTCACTCAACTTTTCAAATAAGTAACAGATATTTCAAAAGTAAGTATTCTGTTTAGACAGTGAAGCCATAAGCCACTGGCATTCACGGGGGTAGTTAATGACTACTCTGAAGAGTTTCAGATCAAAGAATCAAAGAATGGTTAAAGTTATTTTGTATTAATTTGTTAAGTGACTAAAAAAAAATGCTATTACTTTCCTGAAATACAACCAATAAAAAAGTCCAGATCATGAAAAAGCTCTGCTTTATAAATGAGTGGAGAATATAATATGCACAGCTGGCACAGAGGAGCTCTAAGCCACGTCCTCCTTAACAGTATCTCTTATGGAAGGTGGGCATCTTTATCTGAGGACATCAATCCACAATATGATTTTTACTGCATCTGTGAGATGGGCTAATCTAACCAAATGACCACTGATATACTAAGGTCATTAATATCAACCTCCTCACAGTACAGCAGATACTTCAAACGTGTTCAGGGAATACTATGAAATTCTCTTTTAACTTAGATCCTCCTGAAAGAACTATCCAAAATCCTAGCATAGTTGAGGTATGTACTTAGACCTCTGCATAGGTATAGATCAAAGATCTTAAGTCCACAATAGTCTTAAGACAGCAGGAAAATTATCTCCACCACTATGTGGGGTCCCTACTAAAAGCTTTCACCTGACAACAAATATTTTGCTGAAATTTTTTCTACATCATATGGAAAACTGGTCAACAGCAGTTTACAACAGTTTCCAGACAGCTGACATTAATGAGATGGAGATAAAAGAATTACATTTCATGCCCTATTTGATGGAGATGGGGACAGGGAAAAGTTTGGTAATAATCAAAAGAATGCTTACCATCAAGTCTATTCAGTAGGTCATTCTTTGGTAAAGAAATTACTTCCACAAATTCTAAACAAACAAAGTGTGAATGAAAACAAAGCTGAAGAGTGGGAGCCCCCAACAACCCAAACACCTGCAGCCATTGCCAGCACACTCAGCCAGTCACAGGGTCAGCCACTGGGAGTTCAGTAACATACCTCCATCCCCTGAAAATACACAGAAGGAAGAGCATTTATATTATAGCACAGCCTGAAAGGACAAGACTTTAGTGCAAGTCATAGCATACAGACTATGTAAGAATCTAACAGAAACAAGTCTCTACTAAATTTATATCAGAGTAAAGCCAATTTCAAAAGTATAAATTACTATTCCCTAAATCAAACATTTCACAGCAAAGTTTAAAGCATATCTATAATGTATATTATATATATTTGGAAAAAACAGAATTTATCATTTTAAAAAATATTTTATTTATATTTTTATTTTATGTGTATGAGTGTATTGCCTGCATGGATGAGAGTGCACCTGTGTCATGCAATGCTGTGGTGGTCAGAAGAGGGCTTCGGATTCCCCTGGACCTGGAGTTAAGGATGGTTCGTAGCTGCCAAGTGGATGCTGGGAATCGAACCTGGATCCTCTGCAAGAGCAGTCAGTGCTCTTAGCCGCTGAGCCATCTCCCCAGCCCCCATTTTAACCATTTTTAAATTTACAGTTCAGCATTAAATAGGTCACAGTGTTGTGCAAACATCATCACTTTTTTTAAAAAGAAAATGTCTTATTTTTATGTGTATGAATGCCTGCATATAAGTACTTGTGTCACTGTACTTGTGTCGTGCAGTGTCTGTGGCGGTCAGAAGAGGGTGTCGGATTCCCTGGAACTGGGGTTATAGAAGGTGGTTATCTGCCAAGTGGGTGCTGTGGGTCCTCTGCAAGAGCAGCCCATTCTCTTAACCGTTGAGCTATCTCTATGGCCCCAGTATCACCACTCTTAATCCTCAGTTTTTTTATCATCCCAGATAGAAACTTGGAATTGACAAAATAAAAACTCTCCATCCCTTATGTGCTAGATAGCTTCGTTGTCAACTTGACACACCTGGATAGAGGGAGCCTCAACTGAGGAATTTCCTCCATTGGATTGGCCTCTGCCCATGTCTGTGGGGCAATGCCTTGTTTGCTGAGTGAAGTAGGAGGGCCCAGCCCACTGTGGTGTCACCCCCAGGCAGCTGGTCCTGTGTTTTATAAGAAAGCAGGCAGAAGGACTGGAGAGATGGCTCAGTAGTTAAGAGCAATGGCTGCTCTTGCAAAGGACCCGGTTTTATGCCAGCACCCACATAGTGGCTAACAACCGTCCGTAACTCCAGGGGATCCAATGCCCTATTCTGATCTCCATGGGCATTGCACAACATGGGTACACTTACACACATGCAGGCTGTATACTCATACATATGAAATAAAAATAATAATATAGTTTTTGGTCTTTTGGAGACAGGGTCTCTCTGTAGCTCCAGCTAGCCTGGAACTCTATGTAGACCAGGCTGGCCTTGAGGTCCACCTGCCTCTGCCTCCCAAAATAAAATAATTAAAAAAACAAAAACAAAAACAAATCAGGCTGAACACGGGCCAGAGAAGCAAGCTCATCAGCCATGTTTCTTCATGGTCATCTGGATCAGGTTCCTACCCTGACTTCCCTCAGTGATGACCTGGGAGATGCAAGATAAAATCAACCCTTTTCTCCCCAGGTGGTTTTGGTTAGGGTTTCATTGCAACAACAGAAAGCAAACAACCTGTAATCTTTACTGTTATTCTATTAATTTGTCTATTCTAAGTACTTTGTATTAGTAAAATCACACATCTGTTTATTTCAGGTGGCATAATGCTGTCAAAGTTCATTCATAGTATAGCATGTGTCAACACATTTCATTCTCTTATGGCTAAATAACATTCCATAGGATGATTCGCTACATTTTGACTCTTCATTCAGTAGTGTAGGCTACTGTGACTGATGGTGCATCGGGGTGCTGGTGATGTATCTGATTCTCCGTTGTAAGTTCTTGGCATACAGAGGTGGAAATGTTGGACCATACAGCAATTCTACATTTACTTTTTTGAGGGGCTTCCAAATGGTCTTCCATATTTTATGAAGTTTACAGTTTAAAATTAAGCATTTAAAATAGCTGCGATGAGATAATGAAACATAGGCAGCAAGAATTTACAAAGATAAAGAACTTTCAGTCACTCCAACATGATGTGTGTGTGTGTGTGTGTGTGTGTGTACATATACTGAACTATACATCCATTAGTTTATTCTCCCCGCCCCCCACTTTAAAGGGGTAGAAGACAGGGAATCGCATTGAGAAGGCATTCAAGCTTTTGAATCCCAATTTTCCAGGAAATATTTTAGGGCAAAGAATAACCTTATAAATTCTCTAAACATAAAACTAAAATATAAACAAAATATTAAAAAGTTGCTCAGATGCAGCTTTTAACATTACATATGCATTCTTGTATATGAACACAAAAACCAAAATGACTTTTGAAGTTTCTCAAAAGTTTATTAGCCTGTGTCTGATATTACTCAATAGGAATAAACTCCATACAGAAACATGGGCATGAGTAATTTAACACTCACATAAAGATCACTGGAATGCTAAGAGTAAACATGTTAAAATACCCAGCATTAGGAAAGCAAACGAGTACATGAAGATCCTGTGGCAGATTATGATTCTTTTAATGAAAAATTATGTTGTCCTTTAACAAATCAAGCAAGTTCAGATATGTAATGCAACTCAACCAGCTTAAATGTATGTAACCACCCTTACCTGGTTTGGGCTTCGGCCTTACATTTTCTGCATCATCTCCATTGATGGTTACTGTCACAACATGTGTGGTACAGTTTGATAAGCCTGGATTCATACACACAGCTATGAAGAGAAGTGACAATACATCTTAAGGGATCAGGCAGTTGCTTCAGTTCTTTGTCACTTGCTTTACTAAATGTCTTAGACGATGAGGCTCAAGGGTCAGTGAACATTGTGTGGTAGTCAGTAGATGCTATTGGACTGTAGAGCATGTATGTACTATATTCTCAGAATTTTCCTAAGGCTTCTGAGTCAAGTTTGGTAGTCTGAGGGGTTGTCTCAGATGGTACCAACAAGTCCTAGTGGAGGAAAAACAAATTTCTAATGAGCAGCAGCATACAGACAAGGCAAATAAGCAGTAAAGATTAGAGTGTGTAAGTTCTGAAACGCAACTTAAGTTTCATGAGTTTCCAATTTCAGGTTCTTGTTCAACTTGCTCTCATACAGAGGAAGGATTCCCAGATAGAGAACAATCTTTTTTTTTAACTTGTGGAAAGGAGATGTTGAGACAGTGTTTTACTTCACAGGCCAGGCTGACTCAAACTGGTAGTTCTCCTGCCTCAGCCTCCAGGATTGGGATTTTAAGTATGTACCATCACACAGGGCTGAAGACCAGTCTAAATTTATGATTTCTCTTTCTCACTTCACTAGCTGAAATAAGAGTCACCCGAATGCCAACCATAAAGAACCCTTTGGTAGATAAATGTTCAAGAGGCTATCCCGGAGTATGCTTGGTATGCTGGACAGGTTCAGTTGTTGACCTGACATATCTGGGTACAGGGAACCGCAATTAGGGAATTTCTTCCGTTGGATTGGCTTGTGGCCATGTCTGTGAAGCGTTTTGAGATGTGGGTAGGCCTAGCCCACTGTGGGTACTATCACCCCTGGGCATGTGGTTCTGGGTTACATAAGAAAGCAGGCTCAGAACAGGGCAGAGGAGCAAGCCAGTGAGCAGTGTTCTTCCACGGTCTGTGCTTCAGCCCCTGCTGCCAGGTTCCTGCCCCGAGTCCCTGCCTGACTTCCCTCAGTGATGAGCTGTGCCTTGGATACCTAAGATGAAATAAGCCCTTTCCTCCCAGAGTTGCTTTCAGTCACGGTGCTTTTATCACTTATCACTGCCAGAGAAAAGCAATAGGAACACTTGGAAAGCAGCACAAACCTGGAGAACATTCTGCGATGTCCCCTTTGTAGCCAGTTTCCTCCTCCAGCTCCCGAAGAGCAGCATCTTCTGGGCTTTCATTGTCTTCGATGAACCCTGTAGGTGAGATGGGAAAGCTGGTTTTCTCTGAACCCCATTCCTCAAACATAGCTGATAATGAGCTGAGTTAGAAGAGTCCGTGACCCTTGGCAAATAAAGTAGGTTACAGTGGGCATCACCCATTTTTACATCTAGCTGTTTCTCATGAACAAAGTCCTTGGTTTTTTAAAAGGTTTTATTTTTAAAAAATTAGGTGTGTACATGTGTCTATGTGCAAATGAGTTGCAAGTCCCCTTGAAGAACAGAAGATGGCATTGGATCCCCTGGAACTGGAGTTATCAGCGGTTGTGAGCCACCCAGTGTGGGTGCTGTGAAGCAATCTGAAGTCCTCAGGAAGAGCAGCAAGCACTGTTAATAACTGAGCCATCTCTCCAGTTCCTCAACAGTGTTTTGTACAAGAGGGGCCGGAATTGTGAGGAAAAGTGTTGTTTTTTTTTTAAACAATTTTATTTGCATGTGGGCTCATGCACATGTGGAGGTGAAAGGACACCCTGCAGGAGTCGATTCTCCGTCCACCAATGTGATCCAGATGACCAAATAGCCTAAGTTTTAGAGCCAGCTATGTGACTATACTACAGAAAAGTTACTCACCCCCCCTCATTTGTGAAACAGTTGACAGTTTATCTTGCCTTCCTCCCACACAGAAAAAATAAGTCCCAGCAATGAAGTGCCAGGAAGGGGTACCCTACGGGCCGTGGACTTGGTCAGTACTGGGATCACTGTGGGGAACAAACAGGCCAAGCAGGAGGAAAATAGCAACTCCGGTTCATTTTCCTGAATGGTATAAAGCAAAACAAAGAACAAGTAAAATGTAGGCTATTCAAGTACTGCAGCCAAATAAGCTACGAGGTTCCTTTGCCAATGGTGTGCACTCCTTGGTAGTGTGTGCAGTTGCTTATATAGGTTGCTCTAAGGAACCTTGGAGACAATTTCTGGTGGCTCTCTATGTCTCTGATTTCAATACTGTCCCCAATTTAGGCTCCAGACAGGTATGTAGGGTGCCTGTGGGAAGCCCCAGGACACACTGGCCAGGTCATCATGTCCATCTGCACCCAGCTGCAGAATAAGGGACATGTGATTGAGGCCAAGTTCAGGTTCCTTAAAGATGTACATCTTAAAGAAATGGAGTTTCACCAAGCTTAATGCAGATAAATTTGCAGACATAGTAGCTGAGAGGCAGCTCATCCCTGACAGCTGTGGGTCAAATATAACCCCGGTTGTGGTCCCCTGGACAAGTGGTGGACCCTGCACTCCTGAAGGCGCCTGCTGTGCTGACTTCTACATTCCACCAAATCATGTTCACTGATAAATCTCACATGCTAAAAATAAAGAGTATTTTCAAGGTTAACTTCTTCAATAAAAATGGCAAGTAAGTAGGGAAGAAAAGAGTCAAATATACTTCACCCTGGACTGGGCTTCCCCACTCAGTCCTGGGGATGCAGCACAGGCATGCTAGGCAAACTCCACTTTGGAGCTCTACCCGAACTCCACTAATTTGACTTTAAAAATATAAAATCTGGGGGCTGGAGAGCTGGCTCAGTGGTTAAGAGCACTGGCTGCTCTGCAGAAAACCCAGGTTCAATTCCCAGCACCCACATGACAACTGTAACTCCAGTTCCAGGGGATCTGACACCTTCTGACCTCCATGGGCACTGGACAACACAGGTGCACTTACATACATGCAGGCAAAGCACTCATATACATAAAATAAAAATAAGAATCACTGCTATAATGAAAATAAAAGGTTAAAATACATTTTTTATTATTTTTATTTTATGTGTATGAGTGTATTGCTTGCATGTATGTAAGTGTTCCCGTGTCATATACATATTATACATATAAATTATATAGAAAATCTAAAGCCGGGTCTGTTGGTACACGCCTTTAATCGAAGCATTTGGGAGGCAGAGGCAGGCAGATCTCTGTCAGATCTAGACCAGCCTGTTCTACATAGTGAGTTCCAGGTCAGCTAGAGCTAGAGAGAGACCCTGTCTCAAAAAAACAAGCAACCCCCCCCCAAACAAACAAAACAAAAATATATAATCTGTACCACTTGTGATAAATACATGAGGTTTAATCTCTTCAGATGAATATAATCCAATAAAGTCCTATAATGCAGCAGAATACATTTAATGTGCATTAAATTCTGGATGGCTTCTTTAATTATTGTGCAACTGAAAAAAAAACTCTAGATGAAATTAAGACAGTTTTCTTACCCTGTTTATGGCAGATCAAAGTGCCATATTTACGGCTTTTGGAATTAAATTTGCCCTACTTATTACTGTAAATTGCTTATTAGGGGACAAGTGCTACTGCCAGAAAGTGAACTAAGTTGACAAATCCCTTAATAGCAATTGCTAAGACAAGAGCACTGCAGAGGTGAGCGGGCGATGTGGAAACGGGGAGTTCCACTCACTTCATAGGCCTACATGGGTTCAGCTGCTCCTGAACATGGCCAGTGGCTTAAAGGAGCCTCATTGTAGAAACTTTTTTTTTCTTTTATGTGTCTAGTATGTGTGCCTGTTTGCATGTGGAGGCTGGAGGTTGATGTTGAGAATATTCCTCAATCACTCTTCTACCATGTTCTTTGAGGCAAGGCAAGGTCTGTCAAGCAAACCAACAGCTCGCTGGTATAGCTAGGCTTACTAGCCAGTTTGCTCCATAGATCCCTTCTTTCCCCCTTTAGGGGCTGGAATTATAGGCAGGCCTCTACCTACTATTTAACTGGGTTCTAGGAATCTAAACTCTGGTTCCCTTGCTTGCACAGGAAGCGCTCTAATTCTGAGCTACATCCCCAGCCCTAGAAATATTATTTCTTTACCTACAGCCACATGGGCACATGGAAAGGTGTTAAAATGTAAGCACTGGAATGTTCAGGCTCAGGCCTGTGGTCACTGAGTTGAGTTACTCACTCACCTGCAGGGAACTCCAGGCAGTAGCCACCCATTGGAGGTCGGAACTGTTTCACTAGAACAATACACTCATAATGAAGAGTTCTTTGCAGCACTGGGATGATTGATACGCCTGTCAAAAAGAAACAAAGCTAAGAAATGCCTAAGAAAGGTCAGCCAGGTCAGCAATCAGTTTATGGCAATCTAAGGAAACCTCTAAATTGTAAGAAACTCTACATCTAAATCTACTCTGGAATAGCCATTAACTAAGCAGTGAGAAATTAATTTATACTATTGACAGTTAACTTCAAATGCTAGTTTCATTTAAAAAACATAAAGAAAAAGTAACAGTCCTATGTCTGTATTTTGTTTATAAAAAGTGCATTTAGTCATCATGATGTCCTCTCCCTCCCATTTTCCTGTTTCAGATGGGCTTTTACTATGTTGTCTTGACTGCCAGGGCTAACCTCTCCTGTTCCAGACTAGCTAGGACCACTGGTCTGGATCACCACACCCAGCTACAATGTCTTAAAAAACAAAACTGAAATTGAAGCTGAACATCTCACACAGGGCCAAGGATGTGAAGGTTCAACCACAGCACGCTCTGCCCTGGGCTCTGCCCTGGGTGACGGCCCACCGTGCAGCGGCCTGTGCGGAGGTGGCTGAAGGCGGAGTCCTCTGCGTGCTGCTGGGTTTTGTGTAAGCTGGGAACCACTTCAGTCCTACTGTTTCTAGTGTACACCAGTGGATTGCATTTTACTGTTTTAGAGTAAAAGACACTCTTTTCCAAATAATTTGGCCTTAAAACAAAACCAAAAATCCACTGGGTTCTAGAAAACAGAAATAATCAAGAGGAACATTAGTACCTCCTAACACTGCCTCATTAGTGAAGAACAGTACCTGCAAAAAGCTACTGTTTGTTTCTAGTAAAAACAAACCAAAAGAGAATGGAAAAATAAAAAGCAGGCAGGCATGGTAGTACACGTCTCTGATCCCAGCACTTGGGAGGCAGAGGCGAGCAGATCTCTGTGAGTTCAAGGCCACCCTGGTCTCCACAGCGAATGTGGGCTAGCTGGGGCTACAGGGAGTCCCTGTCTCAAAAAGACCAAAGGGGGGAAAAAAAAACAAAAAGGAAAAAAACAAGGAATGTGCTATGGCTCCATTTCCCCTAGAGCCTGTGTGTGGCTTTCAGGATGTTTCTGTGGTGTCTACAGTCAAGCCACTGTACCTAGAAGGGAAACCCAAGGAGGTCTTTTCCTAATTCTCTGTCCTTGTCAGCTGATCATGCAAGTGGTCATGCAGCATGAAGGTGGGTAAGATCATTTCCCCACACCTGAAAGCTCTTACCTTCAGAGTATAATGATTCTCAAGGTCTTAACATACATAGCACATGGCTTCAAATTATACTAACCTATGTTTGGCATTAAAGAGGAACACATCTTTCCTTCAAAAACTGTTCTAAGCTTAGAAAACAGAAGCCAGAAATTAAAAGAAAGGTTTAGTAACACACAACAGCATAATAGGAGAGTCATAGATAGAAGATCGTAATCAAAGGTAGCAATGTTCTGCGGTCTTTGGTTGCATGAAGCACCATCCTATAATCTCATGTGCTAACTTCCTTTATAAAGAGTTACAATAGTCATACCGTCAGCAGACTGTCCCTTCCTGGTGGTAAGTTTCACTGTTTCCCAAGTTCTATGTATTAGAGAAGAAAGAAAAAAAAAAAATTAAGTGCTAAAGAGGTTCTTAGGTTTTCTTTAGACAATGAGAACTTCATAAATGCAACACATGCAAATCAAAGAAAATCACAGTAACAAACATTTGTATTTAAAAAGCCAACTGTGCTGTCTTAGTTTATATGAGTTGCTGAGCACTGGATGCCCCATCCTCCAAACACTGTGGTTTAGACCATCAGTCTACAGTGAGCACCATAAGCTGGTATTACAGCTGTAGAGGCCATCTTGCAGTCATCTGAAGTAAGCCCCAACTCTAGGAACAAAAGATACCGTGCAGAACAACTACTGAGATTATACAGATTTTTAAAGATGTCACTAAACAACACAATTTAAGACAGTAGAGCTTTCCCACCTATTAGCTGAGGAATTAATTTTTCTTTGTATAAGTGAGGCCTTAACTAAGAGGGAAACACAGGTTCCTAGAGGAAGAACGGATGCATTTGACATCATACTCTTGCTTTTTTGGTCTTTTTGAGACAGGGTCTCCTTGTAGCCCCAGCTGTCCTGGAACTCACTATGTAGACCAGGCTGGCCTTGAACTCAGAGATCTACTGCCTCTGCCTCCCAAGTGCTGGGATTAAAGGCGTGCACTACCATGCCCGGCTTAGTCTTGCTGTCTTTTATGGTTGCACTTAAAAAAAAATTATCTTTATGCGTTTGAGTGTTATGCCTGCATGTATTTAAGTCCACCTGTGTTGTGCAGTTCCTGCAGAGGTCAGAAGAGGGTGTTGGATTCCCTGGAACTGCAGTTACAGATGGTTGTTAGCCTCCAAGTGGGTGCTGGGATTCAATCCTGGGTCCTCTTAAATCTTTTTTTTTTTTTTTTTTTCTGTCTTTTTGAGACAGGGTCCTTGGAGCCCCAGCTGTCCTGGAACTCACTATGTAGACCAGGCTGGCCTCAAACTCACAGAGATCCACCTGCCTCTGCCTCCCAAGTGCTGGGATTAAAGGCGTGCGCCACCATGCCCGGCCAAATCTCACCTTTTAAGTAGAAAAAAATTGATGGTTAAAAAAGAAAGATGGTGGTGGTCAGGCACATGATCTTAGGCTGTCTCTAAAAGAAAGGATCCTTCTGGATGGCTTCCAGGACTGGGATAAGAACAGTTATGTTATAAGATATACTACTCTGAGAAATTCTCTTGCTCATACTTTTTCTGGTTATGCCAAGGTTTGATAATTCCGCATTTCTAGAAAAAATAATTTCAGATATTTAATCTGACTTAAAATAACAATAAACAAAAAACAAAACAAAACCCCCCAATAAACAAAACCCCTCTCTGTATTCTGTATTTTTCAGTCATACACAAGTTGTAAACGGCAAACATGTCACTATGAACCTATGAAAATCGGCCTTTGGTGACAACTTGCAGCAGCCTAACATTCCTGTTAGTAGCAAAAAGCCAACCAACAAGCGATTTCCAATAAGTAATACAGATGACAAGAGACAAAACACCTTTGGTCATAGCTCTTTCTGCTGCCTCTTAAGGTTAGTCCTAAAGGCTGAAGACAGTGCTGGGAAAAGCACTGAAGGTCCCATCCCAAATACACTAGGAATAAGGGAGACAAAAAGTAGCATCATTACAGCGGTTAAGATGAAGTAAATAAGCAGTAACACGCCATAAATTATGTGCAATAAAATATAAACATATTCGTGAACACTAGAGTAAGAATGACCACAGACAGCTCCAGAAATCTTAGCGAGACCCAGAGATGTGCACCTGATAGGGAGAAAATCAGTTTAGGTGTCCAGTGGTTAAATGCAAAGCTATGATCTTCTGGAGACCTCTCTTCTTTGTGTGACTTGGGTATGAGTGAGCTCTCTAAAAAAAATCTCTTCAGCTTTAGAATTTTGCTTTCACTTAAACTATTCCATCATTTGGTCTCTCATTAGAGGAAAGCCTAGTGCTTTTTCCCTCTAGCCACTGATGCAGGAGGTCGGTGGCAGCAAGGGATGACTCAGCACCACGTTGACTGTCAAGGTTGGGACCTAATATTTTATCCCTGATATATAACATTTTCTTCAAAGTAACAGAGAATGCCGTTTTATAAACTGATAAAACATGGTCTACTACAAGGTACAGAGAGCCATGCCTCAAAGCTTGACATTTTGGAAAGAAATATCGGTGCTGTGCATAAGACTTCATCAAACACCAGGAGCAAGACATATATGGAAGGGGAGCATGACTATGCTGTAGTGGCCAGTACACACATGGTAGTTTGACAGAGACTCAAGAGTCCATTCCCAAATTAAAGAGTAGATTCTCTGGAGTGAAACCTAAAATGAGAATTCTGGGTCGAAAACAAAAGATCCTCAATGACTCAGACATTGATTAGTACACGACTTCTCAGGTGAAGAAATGAGCTGGAGGGAACAAACACATTTTTATTTATTTATTTTTTTTGAGACAGGGTCTCCCTGTAGCCTCAGCTGGCCTATTCACCTGCCTCTGCCTCCTAAGTGCTGGGATTAAAGGCATGCGCCACCAAGCCCGGCCCAACACATTCACACATTCTTTAGACTAATATTAAAAGCTGTACTTTTTTTAATGATTTATTTTTTTAATTTATGTGTATGTATGTGTGTGTGCTTGCTGAGTGTATATGCACCACATGAATGCAGGTACCCATGAAGGCAAGAAGGCCTCAGATCTCCTGGAACTGGAGTTACAGGAGGTTATGAGCCACCTGTGTGGGTGCTGGGAACTGAACCCTGATCTTTTGGAAGAGCAACAAGTAGTCTTCACCATTGATCCATCTCTAGCTAATAAAGGTTGTATTTTGTACCATAAACTATGTTTTACAAGAAAAGGTAGAGCTAAAGTCTATCATTATACCAAATGCCAATGTCTACGTATTTTCACAAATATAAATACATTTGAACATATTGTGCTCCCTTAATGCTTGGCTTTGCACATAGCTGTCCTGGTCTACAGTTGCCCTAGTCTATAGCTGTCCTGGTCTGCAGCTGTCCTGGTCTGCATGCTATCCTCTGCTTATTTCATAATTAGTTCTAGCTGTCTTCTGTGAATATCTTTTTTTCCCCCTTCTGTGTTTCTGAGACTGGGTCTTACCACGTATGCCTGGCTGGCCTAGAACGCTTATGTAAACCAGGTGGGCCTCAAATTCAGAGATCCACCTGTCTCTGCTTCCTGAGTGGTGGGATTAAAGGTATTCATCACCACAACTGGCCTGTTGTGGATGTCTTAATATGTCTCTCATAGCTCTACCATGTCCTATTAAGGTTTCAGTAGAAATGATCAAAACTCGTTTAAATTATCAGTAAATCCATGGATTTTCAGCTTCATGATACATGCATTTACTCAAAGAAACCACGATTCTTTAACAAAAATTTTTTTGGTTAATGTGTTTTGCCTACAAGGATGTTAAGTGCATCGGTGTTGTGTAATGCCTGCAGAGGCCAAAAGAGGGTACTGGATCCCCTGGAACTGGACTTTTGAATGGTTGTTAGCCTCCATGTAGGTTCTGAGACCCAAAGTCAGGTTCTCTGCAAGAGCAGCCAGTGCTCTTAACTGCTAAGCCATCTCTCCAGCCCAGAGACCATGATTCTTATGTGATCACCTAGCAAATGTGACTTTATACTAATGAATGGGTATCATATAATCTGGATACTAAATTCAGTTTTATTTTATTCCTTAGTATGTTTCATCGAGTAAATACTAAACCGTTTTTGGGGGGTGGGGTGGGGGGATGTCGGGTGTTGGTTGTTTTTTTGAGACAAGGTTTCCCTGTAGAATTTGTAGAAGCCCCAGCTGGCCTGGAATCTGTATAGACCAGGCTGGCCTCGATCTCACATAGATCCACCTGCCTCTGCCACCTAAGTGATGGGATTAAAGGCTTAAGCGTGTGCCACCCCACTTGACACTAAACTTATTTTAATGTATTATTTTTTTCCTTTTTTTTTTCCATGGTGATGGGGATCAAACCCAGGATTTTGCACATAGATAATGCTGTACCATCAAGCTACATCCACAGCTTCTTAATATGATACCAAAAGATTAATAAATTTTTTTGAAGAACTTTCCCTCTAGTCTTTGGCAGGGTCTTACTATGTAGCCCTGGCTGGCCTGGAACTCATAGAAATCAGCCTGCCTCTGCCTCCCAAGTGCTGGGATTAAATGTGTGCACCCCCACACCTAGCCCTTCTAGTCTTTCTTCACACATCACTTTTCAGAGCTTAAAATGCATATGCATTATTTTCCTATCAACTTACTTTCCCCTACTGCTAGATTACCTTCAAATACGCTGTAATAACCAATTCTTCCACCCCCTTTCCGGGTAGTGCTGGGGTTCGAACCCAGCACTACAAGAATACAAGATAAGTATTCCACTCTGGAGATATATCCCTAGTTCAAGTTTTCTATTTTAAGATGCTCAGTTTCTGTTTTGGTGAACATTTTTCATGCATAAATCCAACTTCAAACCCCAGGTGATTTCCTTAGGACATTCTCAGAGTGGGATTACTAGGTAAAGAGTTACAGTATATATGTATACATAGACACACACACAC